CCCCCTCTCCCTCTCCCTGTCCCTGTCCCGGGCCCCTCTCCCTGTCCCTGCCCTGGCCCCTCTCCCCCCTCTCCTGCCCGTCACCTGAAGTAGTCGTAGGAGAACTCCTCCAGGGTGTAGGGCTTGGCGCGCACCTCAGGCTCCGGTGCTCGCAGCTGCAAGAGCCGGATCACGTCCTGCCGCTGGTCAGGGGTCATGGTGACCAGGGCCTAGAGACAGAGAGGGGGGGCTGAGGTCAGCTCTCCACCTGGGGCCCTGGGATCCACTCGGCAAAGCCCAGAGCCCTCTCACGGGGGCGGGGGGTGGGGGGGTGGGGGGGAGGGGGGGCTGAGTAGCAGGGAGACTGTTACTCGGGGACTCGGGGGCCTGTGCCCATTCTCAGCCTGGGAGCCCCTCTGCTCCTTGCATCTCTGAAGCTGCTGCTGCCTCCAGGCTGCTGGGCTCAGGGCCCTTCCCTCGGTGCTGCCCTGGGTCCGAACCAGGTCGGGTCAGTCAGAAAGGCCGGACAGGGCGGGAGGGAACAGTGAGAACTGCCCAGGGAGCTGCTTGGAGAAGCCGAGCTCTGAGTTCTCAGTGCTGCGCGCAAGGGGAGTCCGAAGAAGCAGGGCCTCCCTCCCCAGCTCTGCCCCCACTGCCCTTCCGGTCAGAGCCAGGTGCCGTCCTGCCCCCTCCTCCCCCTGCCCCTGGGCACTTCCTCACTGAGGCACTGTCAGGCCCCTCTCCAGGCGTGACAGCTGCCCCAGCTTTAAGTCTGTGGTCCCAGAGGACCCCCGGCTCTCTTCACGGAAGCTGCAGGCCAGGCGTCTATTGTCATCCCTCCCTCAGACGTGGAAAGAAGACAAGGAGGGGTTCAGGGGCGCCCCATCCACGTACCACGATCTCCCGCAGCGGCATGGTGACCGTGGGCATGACGTACACGCAGTCGGTGGGGAAGTCTCCCCGCTGCTTGGTCCGCTCATTGATGCCGTTGGCCCAGCCGGAGTTCATGACCTGCTCCCCCGTGTCGTGGTCCAGGATGATGAGGTCTCCCTTCGCGAAGCTGAGGAAGCCCGACTCCTCGCCCGCTGGGAGGCCGTGGTGAGAGGGGCCGCATGTGGGCAGAGGGAGACTCCGGGTTAAAACATCTTTCTTTGGGTTGATGACCTATAAGCCGCTCCTCACACAGAAGACCTGAGACCCTGTCATGTCTGCTCACTGGCCACCCCGCCTCCACCTTGCCATTGCCCTCCACGCAGACATGGCCATCAGAGTGGCCAGTCTCCTGCTCCAACGCCTTCTGTGGCTCCCCATTGCCCTTAGCAGAAAGCCCACACTCCCTGACATGCTCGCAAGGCCTGTCGGGGGCTGCCTTCCTGACATCTTCCACCTCCGGGCCCCTTCCTCTCCCTCCCCACTTCCAGCCAAACCAAACTCTGCAGTGCCCAGACACGTGTCTTCTCCACCCCTGTGCTTGGCCTGTGATCTGCTCTCTGCCTCAAACACTCACACCCGTGTTCCTCCCCACACCCCAGGCTGCCTGGGGCTGCTCTTCTGGGCTCCCACAGCCTCTGGCTTCCCTGGTCACTGCACAGGCATTGCACTGTCTGCCCTGCCCCTGCCCCTGCCCCTGCCCCCATTGAGGGTGGGGCCAGGGCCTGCTGCCCCTCCGTCTTGCCACTGCTCTGCCCAGGGCCTAGGAGGCTCGGGGATGCTCAGTGAGGTGCTACTGCTGTCATCATCTGAAGATGGGGTATTTGGAGACACTGAGGAGGAACCCCTACGCCCCTGGAGGAAGTGACAGGGTAAGTATTCAAGACCAGGAAGGGAGGGAGGGAGAGAGGGAGAGAGTCCCCACAGAGCGCAGACGGGAGGCAGAGTTCGGCTGTTTGGTTCAGTCGGAGCCAAGAGTATCTGGGGAAGGAGGGGTAACAGGCCAGGCCAAGGCCAAGGGGGGTGACCTGCCTGACGCCCCTGACCCCGGTGCCTGGCAGCCCGTGCCAGGAGCCACTCACCAGGGTTGGGGTTGTCCTGCAGGGCCACCACGTACTTAGACCTCTTCCGGAGCCCCTCCAGAAAGGTGACCACGAGGTCACGGATGTCCTCGGCGTTGCTGGAGGTGAAGGTATACTCATCCCCCTTGATGGTGGCCAGCGTGAAGCTGGGGGCTGTCAGTTTGGCTCCCCTGCAGGACCAACACGGAGAACAGGGCCCAGCCGGGGTCAGTCCTGCCCAGCCCGGGTGACACGAAGCGCAGCCCAGTTCAGAGCAGCCCAGCGAGAGCAAGACGCGGCACTCCCTGAAGGAGACCAAGGCCAGCGCAGTCAGGCTCGGCCCGGCCAGGGAGAGGCTGGCCTAGCCAGGGTGAGGCGCCGCCCAGGTCCGACACAGCTCAGCCTGCGTCAGACGTGGCCGGCCTGCAGCAGCCCAGCCCACGTACCTTTTGTTGTCTAATTCCTACTCAGCCTTTAGTCTCAGCCCAGATACCCCTTCTTCCAGGAAGCCTTCCTTGCCCTCCCACAGCCCTCATGATGCTCATCCTGCTTTAACATGACCTGTATCCATCTCCCCTATCAACTGAAGCTTCAAAGGGGGAGGACTATCCAGTCACCGCTGCATCCTGTGTGCCTGGCACGTGCCTGCTCAGAGCTGGCCAGGCCCAACCCTGCCCACAGCGACACAGCCCACAGAACGCCAGTCTATTCCAGGAGCCCATCTGTCTGTCTGTGTGTCCCTCAGCCCCTCCTCAGTTCGGTCAGAGCTGAATCAGGACCCTGTCGGGTCTTGGCGCAGCTTCGACAACTCCCTGCTCTGCAGAAAGCGGGGTGCGGGGTGGGACTGACCTGCTGCTGGACACGGCCATGATCTCGGGGAAGGACAGCTCCAGGAGCACCTGCTCCTGCTCATCCACGAAGTAGACGCCCGTCCAGTTGACGGCCACGATGACGTCGTTTTTGGGGAGGCTGGGGCCTGGGGCAGAGACCGAGGCTCTGAGAGGGGGCCTCCCCTCTCCTGGGCCCAGCCCTGCCCAATCCTCCCAACCACCAGGGCAGGGGGTATATTGCTTTCCATTTTACAGAAATGGAAACGGAGCCCCAGAGCACGGCCTCCCTGGGAGCCAAAGCCCCGCGTGCGGTGGGGGAGGTGCTGGGACCAGGACCCTGGGTGTGAGTGGTGCCACGGGTCTTCGTGCAGCTGCGGACAAGTCCCCGCCCTGCGGTGAGGCAGGGTGCGGGTAGGGCTTGGACTCACTGAGCCCCAAGGCTCCCTCCAGCCTGATAACTGGTGGTTCTGTGAAGCCCAGGGCCTGGCACGGAGCAGGTGCCCCCAGATGACAGCCCCAGGACGGCTGAGCGAATGGAAGTGAGCAGTTGGCCACATCCACTCTCAGCTTCATGGAGTCAGCCAGCCCCTGCTCTGGGCCACCATCTCCTGTAGGTGCTCTAATAATCTCCATGCCCATCCAGTTGTTCAACCCACTGTGCCACTGAGCACCTACTGTGTGCCACAGAGCCCAACTGGACTGTGGGAGGTGGGACCCACTCAGCGCACTGGCCTGGAGAGACCCGCAGCCCTGCAGGCAGGAGCCTGGCGGACTGGGGCACCTGTTCCCGGCCTCGCCCTGTTGTGGCCGCAGTGAGGGTGGAAGAGGGCATGGAGGCAGGAGGGCTGCGGGTACCTGAGAACTTGTAGGCTTCGTAAAACCTGGAGAAGAGCAAGGGCCACTTGAAGCGGGCGTAATTGACCACATCCTCCTTGACCTTCTGGGAATCAGTTCTCCTCTGGGCATAAATCCCCTGGAGGGGGACAGACCAGGACAGGGGACAAAAGACGTCACGTGTGCTCTGGCCGGAACTCACATGTCCCTGTCCCCAGGCCAGGCGTAGCCCAGGGCTGCGGTGCCCTCCTGGGCATCATGGCCTCACCCGTCCCATCAGCCCCAGCCACTTGCTAGGGAAGCGTGGGTCCCGCCTGCAGGGAGCTCCCAATGCACCCGAGTGACAGAAAAGCCCCCGCTGCAGCCAGGGCAGGTGCAGGAAGTGGGCGGGCTCCAGCAGCCAAAGGGGGTGAGGGGTGATGGAGAGGAGGTGGCCAAGGACAGAGACGGAGGGATGGAGGGAGAGCACCTGTCTTTCCTGGAGGGGAGGGAGGGTGTCGGTGCTGAGCCCGGCCTAGATGTAGAGGGGGTGCAGGGGGCTTCAGGGGGAGGCTGGGTGGAAAGTGGTGAGGGCCTGAGAGACCGCTGGTCTGTGAAGCCCTCTGGCAACTGTGTGCAAAGGTAATTCTGCTCTTACACAACCAGGGCCTGGAGGTGGGGAGGCCTGGGGTCCCCTCCAGCAGCCAGGGTTCCCCACCCGCTCCCCAGCAGGCCACCCGGCTCTACTTGGGCAGCCCCTTCACCTGACAGGGAGCTACTCAGGGCTGGTTATGGGCCTGGGGCCTCCAGCAAGGGGCCCGAGGGGGCCTGTCCCTAAAGCTCCCCAGGCAGGAAGGTGGGCCAGGGCTCTCGCAGGCAGGACGGAGTGCGCCCTTCCTGGGAGCTCCCCAACACGCACCAGCGCTACTGAGCTGCGGCTCTAGAGAGCGCCTGTGCAAGGCCAGGACGGGACCCGCCCAGCCCTGCACCCGGCTTCCCTCATGGGGCCACAGGGCTGGATGTGAGCCATCTCTGTATCCCTGGAACCCAGGCCAGAGCGGATGACAGAGACAGGAGAGAACCGATGTGCGCGGTGGAGGAAGGCAGGCGGCTGGGAAGCAGGAGGCCAAGGGTGCCAGCCTGCCCCCTGCAGCCTGTGGGCGGACGTGTCAGGTGAGAGCTGTGACGTCTTTGATCCCCCAGGTGCTACTTCCTGGCCTCGGCCATCAGAGACCCCCTCTTCCAAGAGCCCCCCCAGCTCTCCTACCTTCTTGTGAGCAGCAATGGCCAGCTGGGCCCACTTCTCGAGCGTCTTCAGGGGCGTGATCTCGCGGTCGGGGATGTAGGTGGGCACGAGGTTCAGGAGGCGCTCCAGAATCATCTCGGAGCCGTAGTCCACAAAGTACTGCTGGGAGGCCAGCTCGGCCAGGTCGTCCTCCTGAGGTGGGGTTGGGTGTGTGCGGAGACCTCATTCACACACCCTCCGGGAAGCCCTTGCCCAGGACCGAAGCCCGGGCCCCTGCCTCCTGGGCCCTCAGCCCCTGGCCTTTGCACCCTGAGCTCTCACCGATTCACCGATTGTCTGGTTGGTGGAACCATGAGCTTCTTGAGGGCAGGGCCACATTCTTGCCTTCTCCTGGGTCCTCTCAGCACCAGAGGTACCGAGCTGACCCAGAGACCAGCCAGCCCATTGGTCATGGGTCAGCCACTACATCCTCAACCCAGGAAGATAACACCTGGGGCTGGCAAACACCAGAACAGGCAGGGACCGCCCTGGAGAGTGGGGACCTGATACCGCGGGAGACTCCGAGTGCAGGGAGTGTGTCACCGTTACCAGCTCCATCACCATCACCACACCCCCAGGACAGTCAGGGGATTGAACAACCCATAGGCTACAGTGCAGAGGCTCCAGAGAGCCAGGTGGGCACTGGGCAGTTGCCCCTTCGCTGCCCGTGGTTGGTGCACGGCAGCCCCTGTGATGCCTGCCTGGGGTTCCCCAGGCTCTGGCAGCAGGGGCAGTAAAGAAAGGCTCTTGGGAGCTTCAAAGGCAGTGGATATTTCCCAACTAGTTCAAAGTATTTCAGGATTTTAGCGGTGGACACACTGTCCTAATACACCCTGCCTGAACATCAACTCACCACCACCATCAGCAACACCATCATCATCATCACTACCCTCACACCTACCCCTACACCATCGCTACTTCTACCGTCGCCACCACCACCAACCATCCCCTTCATTTCCACCATCTCCATCCTCCTCCCTCCATCATAATCACCAACGGAATCACAGGTACCGTGAGAGCCGTCACCACCATCATCAAAAACAATACAACCACACCGCTCCTGTCCACAGAAGGAGATAGAAGGTTCCACGTGTGCAAACTCTGTTCTCATGAGCGGATCTCTCGATCCTTCAGGGCGGAGTTTCCTAGACTAACTCAGTACAGCAAGTGTGAAGCAGCCACCACAGAGGTGCGGGAGCCTCCCACTGGCAGAGTCCGGGCTGTGCTTCAAAGCCCTGGCTCCTGTGGGCAGCGTTACCTCCGGGAGGAGCGAGGAGCATGCCCGCCCTCCGTCAGGCTAACCTCCGCATTAGCTAGTGGCGGGTCCCAGACAGTAAACACTCAGCCCGAATTCGAATTCAGAAAACAGGCGGCCGTGAGCCAAGCAAGATCAGCCGGGCCACGGCTCGCACTCACCTTCTCACACCTGTACTCCCCGAACTTGACGCCTCGCACCACCTGCTGGTAGATGAGGTTGGTGGCCACGTTGTCTTCTGAGGGGTTGTGCCAGGGCGTGAAGACCTCTTTGCGGAAGAAGAGCCGCCACGGGGCATTGCGCTCCTGGGCACCCTGCTCCTTGGCATACTGCTCGCACTGGGAGATGGCATCCATGACGTGGTCACTGCCACTGCCCAGGGAGGACACCTGTGGGCAGAGGTCACCCCGTGGGAAGGTGAGCCAGCAGGAAGGACTACAAAGAGCCATCAATTGTGCCAACTGCTCTCGGATGCCAAACCGAGGCTCAGAGAGAGGCAGGGAGGTGCCCAGGTCACCCTGGAGGCAGGCCAGCATGGGACCCCTGGGCCCCAGGCATGGGCTCTGAGCCGGCACAGCCACGGGAGCTCCCATTTCCCAGAGTAAGCCTTTTGGGAAACTCGGATGCACAAATGGTCCCTGAAAACACAAGAGTATCCATCTGTACAGCAGAAAAACCCAGATAAATTGTGTCGGACACGTGGTTCCGTCCCGGACCTGCAGGGTGGGGCACCTCTGCTGGGTGCGATGTTGCTGGGTGTGGAGGAATCAGCCACCCCCAGGCCCAGCGCCACAGAGAAGGCTCCTGGCCTAGATGTGACAGGTGGCCACTAAGAGTGAAAAGAAATGACCACAGCAACCTGATGAGGAGTTACATCCGCATTTGTAGGTGAGAAAATGAATCTCGGAGAGCCGCGTGGCTGCAGGACCCTGCAGCCTGCCTCCGGCACCAGGGGGGACTGACGCGGCCTTGCTACATATGACTGAAGTGAGTTCTGGGTTTCAACACTGTTCTGTTGGACTTTTCGTTAGGGGCTTAAGAGGGCTCCGCAATCCTAAAGAATTGGCGGGAGCTAGAGTTACCACCAGCTAATAGAGAAAACCAGGGCCCTGGAAGTAAGTAGCTGTGCGAGGTGGCCAGCAGGTGGCAGCACTGAGCCGGAAACCTGTGGGCAGCCAGGGCGGTGCCGCTGCAGGGCTGGCCCTACCTTATCAAACAGGGCGATGTAGAGGGAGAACCCGAAGCGGTCCTTGAGGGAGATCTTGTCGGCCAGCGCGTTGCAGAGCTCCTTGGCCGTGGTGGCCGAGTCCGTCAGCAGGGTCTTGGTGGTCCCATCCATGAATGTCACCGGCAACATAATGGGCTTCTTGGACTTGGTGGCCTGAAAGTGACCAAGGAGCGTTTGTGGGGATCCTTTCACTTCAGACCACCTGGCCCCTCTGGGGTCCTGGCTCCCTGCTGCCTAGGAGGTTGGAGTTCCCCCCAAGGCCCCCAGCTCCCAGCATCTCACCCAGACATTGTATGTCCCGGGTCACAGGTCCCCAAGGAGCCCTGCTGTGCTCCCCAACTCGATGGCAACATTAGGGCCCCTGAGCCAGTCCCTGGGGCTGGGAGGTTAGGCACTGCCACACACCAGGGGCTTCTGCCCTCATGTCCCAAACCCTCACAGGGCCCTGTGACACGAGTATCGTTACGGCCAATGAAGCCACTGAGGCGCAGTGGGAAGCCCTGCCTGAATCACTTTGACCATGAAGCCAACGGATGGGAGTCGATCATCGGCTGGGGGTTCTGTTCCAATAGGCCTGCCTGGGCTTCTAGAACTTAAGGGTGAAGAACCCAGAATCCCAAAGCAGGGGCTTTTCTGGGCACCGGAGACACGTACACGCGCGCACGCACACACACACGCGCACACCACACGTGCACATGTGCACGCCTGGGGGGGGGGGTACCTGCAGCTCCAGCCAGCTGGGCGGCTGTGTCCGTGTCCCGTTGACGAAGGTCCTCCGGAGCCGCTCCTCACAGTACGGGGCGTAGCCAGGCGGTCCCCCGTGGATGAAGTTCCGCAGGTACTGCAGATGAGGACCAGCTGAGGGGGCCCCACTCTGGCCTCCCGCCCGGGCCACAGAGCAGCCTCGCTGGGTCTCTTGCCTCCAATCCCTCCACCCACTCTCAGGACCTGCTTTCCAAGGCACGTCTCCCCCAGCCCTCCCGTGCCTTCCATGGCTCCCCGCTGCCCTCAGAATGAAGTCCACATATGTCGTCTTGGCAACAGGGCCACCACCACCCAGACCTGTCAAGTCTCAGCCATGCCTCTTGCCTCACCCCACACACTGTACCCCCTCTGCACCTAGCTTAACTGCTCCTCCTCCTCCAGGGCCCCCTCCCTGACGAGTGCTTCCCTCTTCACAGCACTGGCCACCAGGCTGTCCCCGGTTCTGTCTGTGTCCCCAGCACCCAGGGCCTGGCACCAAGGACCAGGCAAGAAAGAGGCCTGGGAGGAACTAAAGCACCTGCTCGAACACAGTATGGAGAGGGGCCCGAGACGCTGTCAGACTCAGCCTCCTCACACATAAAACTGGTTGAGGGGAGAACGGCCTGAAGTTCTGGGTGCCTGGGCGGAGGGGACAGGAAGCCGGGCCTGGTAGCCTCATCCCCAAGTTCCTTGACGCTCCTTCCCCTGCTCTCTCCCAGCTCCCCTTCCCACCCAGGAGTCCAGGCGCCCGCCCTACCTTCACGAACTTCTCAGAGGGGGCGAAGCAGCCCACACAGAGAGACATGAGGATCCAGCCCCGGGCGTAGCTGCTCTTGGAGGGGTTGTGGGTGAGCTGCTTGCTAATCTGGCAGTAGATCTCATCCCTGGGCAGGTGGGGAGGCAGGAAGGGAGACGGCTCAGAGGAAAGTCCCCCAGCAGGTGGGACACCCAGGCCTTCCTCTGCTACTTGACCAAGACCATCCAAGAAGAGGCAGAGTGGGGCCGGGTGAGGACGGCCGGGCCCAGGCCTGGGGAAGAGGGTCTGCTTTGGAGACGGGCTCACCAGGCACGGAGCCCTTCCTAACGCCAATCAGACCCACGGACAGTCCCCGTGATCCTGAGGGGGCACATATCCTGCTCTGGGGCACAGCGGCCACAGCCACTGGTGACCACTCTGATGAGGTGCGCAGGCCCCGCCCCAGCCTCGTCCCTCGCCAGCTGGGTGGCCGAGGCAGGAGAGTTCACCTTTCTGAGCCCAGCCCAAGGTCATGAGAGCAGGTGCAATTTCTACTAATGGCAACTGGCAGAACAGAAACAGCAAAAACATCTGGGGACTCTCTCTGCGAGGCAGAATGAGCAACTTTGACCTTCTCTCAATACATCTCTGTAACATTAGAATATTCAAGTGGTCGTGTATTGCTTTTGTAATCAGATGAAAGCAATGAAGGTGGGTTTTTGCTTTCATTTTAAAGGGAAACAGTAGTACAGTGGGGCCTTGGCTTACGAGTGTCCAGACTTACGAGTTTTTCGAGATATGAGCCGTCTCTCGGCCGATTTTTTGCTTTAAGTTGTGAGCTAAAATTCGGGTTACGAGCCAGCTTCAGATACCCCACCGCTAGTTGGCGCAGCGAACATCACAGTGAACACCACAACATCAGCCCAGCATCACATGTCTCACTTGTTCACTGTTGATTTGACATACGAGTAATTTGAGTTACGAGCTCCGTCACGAAACGAATTAAACTCGTAAGTCAAGGCCCCACTGTACCTTCCTTACAGGATTGCTGTGCACTAAGACACTACCTGCTTGCTGAGGACCAAGAGCCAGCCCGCGGTGATGATGTGACCACCAGGGGGCACTCTCGGCTCTTTTCCCTCTCATAAAGACAGGCCTAGGTGGAAAGGAGAGACTACCTAATTCATTCAGTGGCTCCCAATTTTGAGAGTTAACCAACCAATGCAACTTCAAAATAAATTCTGGACATTGCTAACTCTTCATCATGACACATAAGGACATTTAAAACACACCACACACACACAACCTGCCCAGTAGATCACAATTATTTCATACAACAAAGGTAATTTTCATATTCAAAAAGTAGGAAGGCTGAAGTCTCAGAACAAAGAACAGGCCTTCAAATAAATCAAATTTCGTTTTAGAAACACCCTTATCTTTTCCATCTTGTCAGGAACCAATGAAAACTTTATCACCGGCAGCTGGGAGCCCTTGACCCCCATCACTTTATGGACCTACGGGGACACCTGGGCCGAGAAAAGGGCAGGACCAGCCGGGGTCCTTCGGGGAGTCAATACCCCAGCCTCCGACTCCTGCCCGGGGCTCTTGCCACTGTGTTCTCTGGAAGTAACCGCTGTAGGTCTACTCTTGAGACAACTGGGCCACAAATTCTGCCCCTTTTCCCTGGAGGCGGGTGGCCCTGGGTCCTGTGACCATCTCTTCAATGGCCTAGAGGAGCACCGAGGAGGCCTGGAGGGAAGGCAGAAGGTCTGGGAGGCTAGTGACTCCTGGGAACGTCTCTGCCCTCTCTGGACCTCAGTTTGGAGCTCACCCCCCTCCCCACCCCACCCTGCTGTCCTCCCAGCCAGCGGACACAGGCGCATGGGATCAGCTCTCCCGCCCGACTGTCCTGCGGGTTCTCAGAAAAGGCCGTTTCCCCTCCACTGACCCAGCTGAGCTGATCCCTTCATTGCTCCTGGGGACGCCTCCATCATCCCTCTCCTCCCCCAACCCCCAGGGACCTGAGGTGAGCCCCCCGGGCCTGGGCGGGGAAGGAGGCACTGCCAGGCATGAGCTGGCAGGGATGCGGTTAAAGCAGAAGATGCATGTCAGGGCGTGATAACAACAACTATTACTGAAAGCCTCCAGGTTACAGCCCTCCTGAGATTCATCTGCCCACAAGCCTCTGAGGCAGGTCCACTTATTACCGCCCCCCTCCCCCCTTACAGAGGAAGAAACTGAGGCTTACAGAGAGGAACAAACTCTACCAAGGCCACATGACCAGCAGGCCTGTTGGCTAAGGTGACAGAGCCACAGCTCAGCCACCAGCAGCCTCCCCAGGCCACACCCAGCGCTGTCTCCCCAGCAGCCGCCCCTCCCCGCACCCCTCCCTCGGGCGCTGACCGGAGCGCTGGCCGCAGGATGCCGTTGCCGATGACGAAGTGCAGCTTCTCCAGGTTGGAGGTGGGCCGGTCCTCCAGCATGCTGTTGCCCTGCACCGTGGACTCCCCGTCGTGCAGCCTCTTGGTCACCTGGGCCACAGGGAGGAGTGAGGGACCTGCCTCCTGCCTGAGTCTGCCTACCCTCCTTGGCCCCGGCCCCTGCCCAAGAGCAGAATCCTGGGAGTGGCCAGAGAGCTGGCTCTGCCAGTCTTACCCCCATCCTGCCCCAACCCCACCCCATGCAGAACAGACGCTGGGTCCATGACCAGCCCACAGGCTGGGAGCACTGGCCCACTGGCACCCACTTCTGGGGTTAAGGCTCCTCTGCAGCCTCCCTGACACCCCAACCGACCCCCTACCGGTCAGGATGGGGATCTGCTCCTCCAACTCTTGGCAGGACCCCTCTCTCTCCAGGGCTCCCACACAACTCTGACCCCCAGAGCATATCCCAGTCCCAACTCCCCGTCACCATCACCTGTCACCAATGCCCTGGCCCCTCTGTGTGAGCAGTGCCCAGCCTGGGTTCTTCTCCCTGGTCTCACACAGCCCACAACCCCAGCCCTGCACCCTGCCCAGGTGAGGAGAGAGTGAGAGGTGAGCAGTGAGAACGTGCCCTCCAGACGGAAGGGGTGTGGGAGGTCCTCACATCTACTGAGCACCCACAGTTGTCGTCTTGCACTGGCCCCCCAGGGACCCACAGAGGGGGTGTCTCAGACCCCCAACGGCAAAGGTGGGACTTGGATCTCGGGCTACATGACTGTGAGACTGGATTTGAGCCTCAGATGGGGAACAGGACAAGGACGGAGGCAAAGGCAGCGTGGAAGCCCCGAGGAGGAGCCTGGTGGCTGTAGAGGGGTCGCTCGAGGCTTCCTGGAGGAGGCCACCCCCAGGCAGAGGAGAGGAGGGAGGAATTTAGGGAGAAGCACTGGTGTGTGCAAATGTAGGGGCACAGGGGGGCCAGCCCTGCGCTGTGACCACCTGGGTTTGTGTCCGTCTGCCCTCCCAGCCTGAGCAACCTGGAGCGCAGGGCAGGGGTGGTTCTCGGAAAAGGCAAGGTGACTAACCAATGAGCTCAAACAAATCAACAGTGTTGGTGCCCGTGGCACTCATCCCACAGAAAGGTCCTGAGATCGAACGCTATGGCAGGGCATGTCCTCCCTCCCCAGCCTCCCCAGCCTTCAGGTCCCCTCGTGTGGGAAGCCCTCCCTGACCTGACCCCCGCCTGACCTCACTGCCCTCTTCCCGTCTCCCCGGTCACCCCCTACGCTGTCCTGTTGCCTGCCGTCCCAGCGCCCCGAGGACAGGCAGCATGGACGCCTGCTCCCATCCCAGGGGGCCCCCTGAGGCAGTCCGGGTCTGCGCTGACCTCCTCTGTCAGCTTCGACTTCTTCTTCAGGGTCAAGTGCACCAGCTTGTGCCGCATGCTGCTCTTCTTCTGCCCCTCGGGGAGCTGGGCCTGCAGGACAACGGAGGTCAGGGGTCAGGGGTCAGGGTCAAGCGAGTGGGCCCCAGTAATGACCATGGGCTGTGGCTGGAGGAGTGTCTCACCGCCACACGAATGCTGAGGAGGCAAACCCCGCGTGACACCTCCACCCTCACCCCTCACGGCCCCTCCCACCACCGGACGGAAAACTGGGGCTGGGAAAGTGTAGCGACCCGCCCAGCGACCCTCGGTGAGTCTCCATGGCTCCAGGCCTGGCTATGAAGGCCGGCTGCTCCGCCCATGGCCTCACTCACTCGTGGTCAACGCCGGACAGTTTACAAAACGCTCAGACACTTGCTCCCAGGGGTAGACAGAGGAGAGCGTGGGTCCGGGGGGTGAGGCGGAGGTGAATTTTAGGAGCCTCCTCTGCTGAGGACCCTGAGGCTAGGGAGACCGGACAGCCCTGCCCACTGGCCAGGAGGGACATGGCCTGGGGGGCACCCCCAGGGCCTCACCTCGCCCTCGCCCTGCAGCGCCTGCAGCTCCCTCTTGTACGTCTTCTTGCCGAGGGTCTCGTAAATCTTGGTCATCACCGGGATCTTCTCGCTGCCGTCACTCATGGCCGTGTGGTACTTGGGCTCAGGGAGGTCCCCCATGAACCGTAGGATGGTGATCCACACGGCCAGGGCCGCCTGGGGCAGAGCCACGGGAGTCAGAGAGCTCGGTGCAGGGTATCGCTACAGCCAGCAGCGTCCCCAGGGGCCGGGGAGGGGCTGGAGAAGCCCACAGGAGGCCACTGTGCTGAGGGCACTCAGGGGTTCCTAGGATCTTGCCCAGGTGGCCTGGCCCCAGGCTGGGGGGGGGGGGTCAAGTCAGCCCTGGTCCCCGCCCCCCAGGGACCTGCTCTCAGCACCCGCAGCCCCAGCACGGCCCCAGCCCTCACCAGCTGGTCACCCTCATCGTCGTGGAACAGCAGCGGCTGCTTGAGTGGCCGCCGGGTGTAGGTGTGCGTGGTCGTGCCCTGGAAGTAGGTGGCAGAGAACTTGGCGAACTTGTACTCAGAGAGGTCCTCCTCGTCCTCGTCGGGCAGGGGCAGCGCCGCGTCCAGGTCCTCCTCCACCATCTCCCTCCGCCCGCGCTCCAGGTCCTGAGGAGAGGAGGGGGTCCCTGCTGTGGGGGCCACTCAGCTGGCTGCAGCCCCCACCTGCCCTGTGGGGCCAGCACTGCCTCCACCAGGGGGCACTGTGCCGTCCTGTTCACGACTTAGAACCTGGCGCATGGGGAGACCTCAGTGCATGAATGAATACAAGCTGGTGAGTGGCCCTGGAGAGGGACAGTGACTGACCGGGCGTGGCAGGCTGGCGGCTGGACGGGGCCTGGGCCCTGTGGCCCCCGACCCAGGTCATTGCTGCTGCCCTCTGCTCAGAGGCGACCAGGTGGTCTTCAATGCAGGGGGGTGCAGTCACCCCACTGAGGCCTGTCGCCAGCCCCTGTTCCCAGCCTCGTACCTCAAAGCCACTGGGGGCCTGGCCCTCCTGGCCCGGCAGGCCGCCCGAAGTCCCCAGGAAGCCGAACATCTTGTCCACCATGTCGGAGTGATTGACGGGCTCGTGGCGGGCCCTCTCCATCTGCTCCAGGAGCTCCTTCTTCCGCCGGGCCTCCTCCTTCTCCTTCAGCTCCCGTTCCGCGTCCTCGCGGGCCAGCTGGGCCAGGCGCTCCTGGGGGGTAGGGGTGATGCAGAGGAGACAGCTTCAGAGAACAAGGCCTCCCTGGGGATCCCCAGGGCCCCTGCAACCCCCAGGCCACAGTCCTCCTCTCCCCCTGGGCCTCCTGGCCACTGGGAGGGACCGGCCTTAGGCTTCCCCACCCCGGGCCTCACTCCCATCAGCCCTCCGAGCCTCGTGCAGACAGATGCCCAGACAGGAAGGCCACCTGCCCCCAGGGCTCAGCTGGAACGCCTCCCCCAGGAAGCCTGCTCAGGCCTCCCCAGCTGGAGGGACCACACCACCCAAAACCCCATCGTGGTGGCTCAAGGCTGTAGACCAGCGCTTCTCACAGAAAGATCGTGGGAGCCATGCATGGAGCTGCTACACTTCAAACAGTCACAGAAAGTAAGTGAAACCAACTTTAATCATATATTTTATTTAACCCAATCTTTCCAAAATACCATCTCAACATGTAATTAATATTTTAGAAATAGTACCGAGATGGTTTATAGCCCTGTTTTTCTGCCTTCAAAGCCTGTGTGTATTTTATGCTGCCTGTGCTGTGTCATTTCAAAAGCTCAGTCACCACCCGTGGCTGGTGGCCCATGCTGGGTGCTCTGCCCCCGGCTCAGGCTTTTAGGGAGGTGCGGGCTCCCAGCTAGAAAAGGTGCTCCTGAGGGCACGGACCGTGCACTCTGGAGCCACAGCCCTCCGGCCTCTGTCCTGGGCCAGGACGGGCACCCAGGGCACACATGAGGGGAGGGAGTAGAGGACGGAGGCTGGCAGCCAGTGTCCGGGAGGCTGTCCGCCAGTGGATGGACAGCGAAGCGCTGGGACAGTCCCCGCTCACCTGATGCTTGCGTTCGGCCTCCTCCTTGGCCTTCTTGGCGCTCATCTCCTTCCGCAGCTTCTCCTCCTCCGCCAGCCGCATTTTCTCAGCCTCCAGACGCCGCCGGTACTGAGGGAAGGGAGAGCCGATGGGCACGAACCATGTGGAGCTGGCACCGTGCTTCCTCCAGCTCTGCCCCACCCACCTGACTGAGCTCTGGGCCTGGGAGCGATTTGCCAAATCATTTGGCAGATGGGGAAACTGAGGCATCTGAGAAATTCCCCGGGTCACACGGCTGGGGGGCTGGGGAGTAGGTTTGACACCATTGATCCCCAAACCAAACCAGGTTCACGGACCCTCCCAAAGATTTGTCCTTGGCTGGGAGAATGAGCATGAGAGGTCTGGTCCCAGTGTGGTCATTCCTCAGGGGAGACCCAGCCCTAGGTCACAGCCAACAATGGGATGATGTGTCCCCATGCGATGAGAACTCGCCCCTCACAGGCGGGCACTGCTCACCTCGGCCCTGAGGCGCCGGTGCAGCCTGCGGGCGATCATGCCCCGGGCGTAGGCCTGCACGGTGAGCACGGCCCAGAGGCGGTGGCGGAAGGCCTTGCGGACCAGGTAGGCCCGGCAGCGCGCCTGGAACTGGATCATGCGCCGGCGGGCCAGGCGGTACTGCTGGTGCAGCTTCCGGGAGCGGTGCAGGGCCTGCAGCCGCAGGAAGCCCAGCCGCATCTGCAAGGACAGCCCGGCTCAGAGCCCTGGTCACAGGCGGCACTGCCCTGGGTCCCTCTCCTGCTGTGTGCCCCGCAGGAACACCCTGACTCCCTGGACTGGGGCTCCCGGAGGGAAGCTCTGCCTCCTCTCAGGCGGAAGGTTCCCAGGCATGGCCCTGGCTCCCCATCCTCAGACCAGGAGCTGCTCTCCTATCTGCCTCCCCAACCCAACCCCAGTTGCTCCCCTGAGGTCAGTGGGACACACCTGCTTCGGGCGCCCTCGGAGGTCTCTAAGGACCTAGTGCTCAGTCTCACCCAAACATTCCAGAAGAAAAGCCTAAACATCGCTGACCAGATGGGAAAAGGCACAGAACCAGACTTGGACTTGGGGCTGGGGAAATGGTCGGGGCAGGATGGGGCAGTGGCAGGAGGCCACGGTCTGGGGCACAGGTACATCCTGCTGCTACGGCAGCCGGGCAGGTTCAAAGGCCTTGTGGGGCAGGAGCAGCCCCCTGGGGAGGCTCACCAGCCCATAGTTCCTCCGGCAGTTGTGGCCCCGCCAGTGCCTCTGGATCAGGGTGGCGGCGTTCTTCAGCTTCAGGAAGTTGGACCTGAAACAGCAGGAGATCCTCAAAGCAGAGACGGGGTGCCCAGAGGCAGCAGGGTGCAGGCGGGGCTTGGGATCAGGACAGCAGGGCTAGTCCCAGCCCCGCATCTCCTGGATCAATGACCTGGGCAACAGGGTATCACCTCTCTGCCTCAACTTCCCCATCTGTGAAGTGGGTAGAATGATCCTGCCCTGCCTGCTCACCGGCTTGTCACATGAGCCCAATAAGGAGATTTTCCATGTTTATTGAATAAATAATAAATAAATAAATAAATAAATGTATGAATAATAAGTAAATAATCTTAAAGATTAAAATATTTGAACAGTGTGAACTTCACTCACTACTATCAGATTTCCCCATTTTATAGATGAGAAAACTGAGACTCGATGAGGTTGGACTAGAGCCCACATTGTCTGACTGAGCACAATGCTGTTCCCCCGCACACTCTACATGACAGTCACCTATACCGGATGGAGGACAAAGAGACCACACGTCCAACAGCAGGTGTCTGCTGCATGTGGAAATACATATAGGAGGAGTGAAAAATTAGTATGGCCTCGTGTGAATGAGCCAGCACGCCAATGCCTGGAGGCACACAAGAGCAAGTGAGCAACTGTGGAAGGAAACAGTAGATGGGTGGGCAGACACATAGATGAACAGACAGGTGGGCGGATGGATGGATGGATGGAGAGGAGGGAGTGACCAGATGAACTGCAAACGGGGCAGGCTGTGGGATTTTTGTGGAGCCTGAATCGCACTCCAGAGTCAGTCCTGCTGATTTGTGGGTTATCACAGCTATACACATGTCCCTTATTTGGAATTTATAAAATTTGTAATTTATAAAATCTCAAATTTCCTCTTTGAGAAATTTCATCAGGCATTTGAGACCACAGAGTGTCCAATGTGTGTGCCCCCTGAATCCACATGTGTGCCTGTGTAAATAGTGTGTCTGTGAGTTCACCCATGAGTTATGCATGTGTGTGCTCATGTCTAGGTGTGCACCTGGGTGTGCATGCGTATTTTTAGTGCTCTGGTTAGAGGAAAGAAGTGTGTGGGCTCCCATGGGGAGGAGCTGGTCCCGGCGCGTACCTGTCTTTGAATCCCCGGATGACCTTCTGGAGGAGGATGACTCTGTCGGTGATGGCCTTGTCCCGCTCCACCTCCAGCAGCATGTCGTGGTGGTCCTGGGGGGCAGAGCTCCTGAGCAGCGGCCCCCCATGAATCCAAGTGAAGGCCCTCTCGTCCTTCCCTTGGATTCCAGGCCTGGGGCTTGGCTGGGCCGCACGGGCTCCCAGCCCTGCTCTGCTCCGTGGGGCAGCCTCTCCCAGCCACAGAACAGAGAGAGGTGCTGTGGCTGTTTCCAGGGCTCTGGGTGGGGCAGATGGAGCGGGAGGAGCCCAATCTGACTGGATGGAGTCAGAGGGTGCGATGGGCACACACAGCGGCTCCATCCCGATGGCCTTGTCCGCCCACGCCGTGCCTTCCCCGATGTCTCTGTCATATCAGCCTCTGACCTGGCCAAGCCACCCTCTGGGATCTTGGCAGCAGCCTCCTCACCAGTCTCCTGGCCTCTGTCGCTCCCCTTGGCCTCCCTAAGCAGGGACCCTCCTAAAACAACTCTCCGGTGATCTTACCGTGATGCCCATGACTCTCGGGGACAAGTCTGGTCTCCCTGGCCCTCAGGCCCTCCATGATCCGGGCCCTGCCAAGTTCTCTAGGCCTGTCCCCCCCTCACCCCCACACCCCCAATCTTCACTCTGGTTAGACAAAAATCTCATCATTCATTCAATGCCTTTAAAAGTGAATGTCTCCATTGCCAGCCCCGTGCTAGGTGCTGGAGTGGGTCCTCGGGGAGCCAGGCAGACAGGGCCCCGTGCTGAGTCTCTGTGGGGAGCCACATCCACCAGCTAATCACAGACCGCATCTCCTGTGGCGAGAGCTCTGCACAGAGGAGCTGCTCAGCCATGTCTTTCTGAGTGAATGAATGAATGAATGCATGAATGGGAAGTGGACACTGAGACTGGAAACCACTGCGTGCCCTCCCTCCCTTAGCTACATGGCCGGGCATCAGACCAACCCTGGCTGCAAGCCCAGGGCCTGACCTCGGGCATCTCACTTCTTCTCTCTGAGCCTCTGAAATGGGCATAATGATCCTATCTCACTGGCTGCTGTGATGACTAAATAAGATCGTCTCACTTCTTCTCTCTGAGCCTCTGAAATGGGCATAATGATCCTATCTCACTGGCTGCTGTGATGACTAAATAAGATCGTGGACAAAAAGCCCCACCGAGTCTGGGCAGTTGTGGGATGCAGGCCCGGTGCACACATTTTTCCAACGAGGAAATGAAGGAAATGAAGGCTCAGGGAGATGAAGGGACTGGCCTGTGGCCTCGCAGCCAGGAAGGAATTACACTGGAGCCTGGGGCTCTCTCTGGCTCCGGGCTGGCTCCTTCCTTCCCTCCACCCAGATGTCCTGCACAGCCCAGGCCCCACCCGGTACCAGAGGAAGGAGCCCTGCCCTGTGACCCCAAATGGCCAGAAAGCGAATGCGACGGAAATGGAAATGAGGAAGCCCGCAGGCTGGGAGCTCACACTGGCCCTGGGGCAGCGGCCCAGCCACCACCAACAGCCAGCAAGCTCTGCTCCAAGGCCAGGATGCCCCGGGACCTCGCTTCCTGCTCCCAGTTCAGGCTGCGGTGGGAGCCAGAGAGCTCCAGGTTTGTGCTCAGGGAGGGTAGGAACCAGGGACACTAGAGAGTGAGGGGGTGGCACCCACCAGAGCCTGGGGTGAGCTCTGCCTGGCAGGAAACCACAGTCGAGAAATCCCCCACCAGGCACATCCCATTTTATGGGGAAATGAGGCTCAGCAAGGGCCAGTGGCCTGCCCAGAGTCCCAGGGAAGACAGCCACCGGTCAGCATTGAACCCTGAGCCCACTTTGGTCTTCTATTTTCTCACCCAGGGTCAGTGCTCTGACCCCAACCCCAGGTCACAGCTGGGCTCAATACCAGGTGCCCCTCCCCTACCAAGAAGGCCTCATTTCCCGCCCACACGCCCACTCGTCCTATCACAGACTGCAGGATGGGAGGATGCACAGGCCCAGCCCTGACCCCGTCTGATGCCAGCTTCCCCAAAGAGGCCCCCTGGCGCCCGTTCCCACCGTGACAGGAGTCCACAGCCCCCAAGGCAGTCGGGCTTGGAGCCTTTCTCACCTTCAGAAAGATCTTGGTTTTGCCAATCTGCCAGTCGTCGTGCGTGCCCAGCACAGCCTCAGCCATGCGCTGGCAGGTCCCCCGAAGGTCGTCCTGGGGGCAGGGGCGCACCAGGGAATGGGCAGTGGGAAAGGCCACCTCTGTGCTCCTCCCACGGCTGGGAGGCAGGGCTCTCGCTCCAGCTCCATCCCAACTCACTGTGTGACCCAAGCAGGTCCTGCCTTCTCTGACCCTCCCTTCTCTCCTTAGCTCGGCAGGGTGCCTGCAGGACCCTCTCCCGCATCTGCCCGGCTGGAGGGGCTCAGTGGTTGAGCATCGACCCATGAACCAAGATGTCGCCGGTTCGAGTCCCGGTCAGGGCACATGCCAGGGCTGTGGGGTGTGCAGGAGGCAGTCGATCAATGATTCTTTCTCATCACTGATGTTTCTATCCCTCGCTCCCTCTCCCTTTCTCTCTCTAAAAAAAATCAATAAAAAACATATTTTAAAAAACAAAACACCCCTCTCCCACATCTAACACCCACAGCCCACTTGGTAGTCCTGGTCTCATCCATTACACCCACCGGCGAAGTCCACGCCCAGCAAGCATGGCCATTGACGCCCTCACTGCCCTCCGGACCCCAGTTTTCCCAGCCGCACCTCAGGAGGCAAGCGGACATCACACCCAGCACCCCGTCTCAAGGGGGAAATGGGCCCTTGCCCAGCCCAGAGCTGGGACCGGTCCTCCTGCCCCCCGTGCCCCGGCTCTGTACCTGCTTGTAGGCCGGCTTCACGCCGGGCAGCAGCACTCGGTACCGCTCCACGAACTCCACGAAGCTGTAGCGGATGGGGTAGCCGGCTCGGCGGATGCGGATGGTCTCCATCATCCCCGAGTACCGCAGCTGGCGCACGCACAGGTGCCGGTCGAACAGCTGCCCAGAGCCAAGCGCATCAGTGCTGGCGGCTCCTGCTGGGAGCCCAGCCCTGCACTGCGTGTCCCCAGCCCCAGACATAGGCCCAGAGAGGCCCAGGCCGCACAGCAGATGAGGAGCAAAGATGGCACTGAACCTGGGTCTGCAGTTCAAACCCACATGGCAGCAAGAAATGAGATCCTCACAGGGGTGAGCTGGTGCTCGGGGGCAGAGAGGAGAGAGAGGAGAGATGGCTTAATTCCCCCTGGGACATCTGGGGGCGCTGCCCGGAGGAGGCAGCCTTTGCTCTAACCCTGGAGAACACTGGAGGGGCAGGGCGAGCATGTGCAAAGGTGTGGAAGCCTGAAAGTGCAGAGCATGTCGGGGGACTTCACAGGGACTGAGGAGGTGACCCTCGCCAGGACTGTGGTTGTGCAGGTGCTGGGTGCCTGGCACATCCCAGGGGTGGCCCTTCATGCTACGGTCATTGCAGACTTGTCATTATTTAGACAACTGTCTGGCTGCTGACAGTAACCCGCCTTAATTTGTCTAATTGGCGCACAGTTGCTTTTGTGATGGCAGCCGGCAGGGCCAGCCTGGGGTTCCTGGAGGGCTGAGAAGGCCCTCGGGGCCTGGCTACGGGGGCCGCAGGCAGTGAGCCATCAGACATGCGTTTGACTCCTGTCTCTCACTGCAGTGGAGGGGCCTGGACAGGGAGGCAGGGGCAGGAAGGCGGAGGGCAGTGAGGATGTCCTGCTGTCAAGGTCCAGGCCACAGATGCTGAGGTCGGGGCCCAGAGAAAGGCATCTGAAAGATGGTACCCAACTGCCTGGCAGGGCCCTGGCCTCATTCCTCCTGCTTTAGGTGGGGAGCTTACTGGGGCCCATTTGAACCTCACACCCTGCAGACCTGGCCCTGAGCCCCAGGGGGACCGGTCAGGTCAGCGCAGGGCCAGCGCGTGCGGACGGCTGGCTTCCTTCCGCCACCTGTTTCCTCTCCCTCCAGGCACTTTCCCTGGCCCCCCACCTCTGTCCCACCCACCCCCGCCCCAGCCTCTAGGAAGAGCATGTGGCAAACAACACATCCAGGGCCCTGGGAGGACGGGCGCCCAGTGAGGATTTGGGCTCTGCAGCTGCAAACCCCTTAACCTCCTGGAGCCTTCGTCCCACATCTAGAATGTGGGGGCCCTCCCCCAGTCCCCACCCTGCCCGCCACGGCCCGGCCCCTCCATCGCCCCCCCCCCCCAGGCTGGTTCCACTCACCATGGGCTTCTTGAACTCGTTGGGCTTGATGCAGCGCACGAAGAAGGGCTGGCAGGCACCCAGGGTGCGCATCAGCAGCTCCAGCGACCGCTTGAACTGGCTGCTGAGCGTGGGCGAGCGCTTCCTGGTCTCCGCGCCCTGGGGGGACGGACCACAGCGGTGGGAGGGGCTGACCTGTGTCCCGCCAGCACTCGGGACGGGAAGGGAAGGGGAGGGAAGGGACGGTGGGAGGTCAGCGGGCTCAGGGCCTGAGGGAGGACAGCCCGGCGAAGCAGGCTGCCCGGGACTTGGGGTTTCCCTGTGACCTGTCTGGTCTGAGCTGGAGCTTGGACTCCAGGGAGCCGCCTGGGACCTGAGCCAGAAAGAGCCCTGCTGTGCTGGAGGCTTCTAGGCAAGGCACAGCCCCTCTCTGAGTCCCCAGTCTCCCTCTCCAGGAATAAATGAGTGGCCGAACGCGCTCACTCAGGGCACGGGTAAGGGGAGGGGTCCTTCCTAGAGACAGGTGAGAGGACCTAAACTCAAACCCTGGCCCACCACCTCCCCCGTGGTCCTGAGCAGGTCACTAAACCGCGAGGAGCCTCCCTCCCTATCAGGCTGACAGGCTGTGATGAGAGTGGGCACAGTGGACGTGAACAGCAACCTGGGAACCTGGGATCGGGGGTCAGGGGTGGCCCTCCCCTGCCTGTGCCCTCCCCTTCCTGTGGGATTAGTGGTTCAGCAGCTGGCCTGGCCGAGCAGGTCTGGGTCAGCCTCCTAAGAAGGCACAGAGCTGGCCTCCTACTGTGTGGCCCGAGGCCCACGGCCCTGTGCTCTGCCAGCCAGTCTCTCTGGGGAGCCCACCAGGGACCCCTGCACCTCCCTGCCCTGGTGGAGCCCCTCTCAGAATATGGTGAGATGGTGGGGTGGGGTGGGGAGGCCGGACAGCAAACAAACAGGAAGCGGACCGTCTCAGACTGATACCCAGACACTGGCCGTAGAAACCAGATTCTATTCCAAAGCGTCCTTCCCACTCCTCACTGCCCGCCCGGTCCAAGCCACCAGCGGCTCTCTCAGATCCCTGCAAGAACCTCCAAGCTGCTCTGTCGCCCCACACACCGCCTCCACTCTGCCAGGACACAATAGCCGACAGCAGCCTCAAGACCTGGCTCCTGTAGCTGCTCGCTCTCCACACCCGCTCGCTCCCTCCAGCCAGCCGCCTCTGCCTCCTGCTCTTCCTATAAGGCACTGGCAGGCTTAGGCGTGAGGAGCACCTGAGGGCGTGGACTCGCTGTTCCCTCTCCCTGCCGTGCTTTTCCCCCACAGTGCACATGGCGGGGCTCCCCCCCCCCGCCCCCCGCCCCCCCCCGGCCTCGGCTTTATTTAACGTCTCCACAGGCCTTTCCCGATGCCCCTTTTTAATTTGGTAATCCCTCCTTCTCCCGCCTCCATGGGTAGCTCAATTTCCTATACGTTCTCTTGGAAAAGAGTGCGGCGCCAGGGGGGATTGTTCCTTTTTTGCCTTACTAGGGTTACATTTTTCCCTTCTCACTAAACGGAACGCTTATAGAGGAAAGAAGTTTTTTCCTAGTGACTATTAGCACAAAAGACTCCCCCCAAAGGACCAGCACGTGATATTAAAATTGCTATATAACTTTTTTTTTTTGTCCTGGTC